CCAAATGACAGCTAGACCACTAGTTGTTAACTTGATCCAAATTGAATCAACAATTGACCAAGTAATAATTGAGATTGAAGAAATTGATTCTGATTTGCAAACTATTCCATTCGAAAGAGAATGGTCCACCAATAATTTGAATAACAATGACAACATATTACAATATCTATCATCTATCAAGAATAATACATTAACAATTACAAAATCATTAGTGAACGGTGCTTCTCAATTCGACATTTCATTAAGGTCAAGTAAGGTTTCCAGATATTCCACTTCAACTCTCTCCATTTTATTCCCAGAATCTCCTGAACAAATTCCACCTTCAATAACACCAGCTAACTCGCCTCCATCAAAATTGAATAAGGGAACTTTATTAAGCGTACAAAGTATTGTTTCGAGTGCAAGTAACAATATTATTAGAGAATGGACAATGAATGGTCAATCTATTCCTTCAGAATTGACAAGAAATATGAGAATGCAACTTTCTGAGTCTGACGAATTAATTTTGGACACATCTTCTTTGACAGAAGGTGCAACTTATCAAATTTCTTTCAAAGTTACTAATGTTGATTCTTTGTTATCTGCTTCATTGAATCATTCATTTGTAATCAACAAATCACCAAAACCATGTGACTGTCAAGTGTCACCTTTGAGTGGTATTGCAATGACAACAATATTTACTTTCAATTGTCCAAAATGTCAAAACGATCAGAATAGTAATACTTTTGAATATGGTTTTATTGATGACTTTTCAAAATCCAACTTTCCACTTTCTAAAACAGAAGAATTATATCAAAAACTTCCAATGCCAAATTCTGGAAACAAATTAGATCTTTATGTCAAGGTAATTGATTCATTGACAGGATCTAGCTCCATAACAACCAAACAAGTTACCATTTCTCTTCCGGTTGTCAAAAGTTTAGCAGGAATCAAAAAGTTAACAGCCTCATGGAACCAAATAGCAACATTGGCTCCTGTTGGTGATTATCAACGAAGTGTTTTCAATACTGCAACCATTTCTAGAACAATGAATTTATTATTTAAGAGTATAAGTTCAAAGAGAGATTTTTGTAATGGAAATGGACAATTTAAAGATGGGAAATGTGTTTGCAATTCTGGATTTACAACAAGTAATTGTAAATGGTCCACTGAAGATTTTGAATTTATTCAATCTTTAATTAGAGATTTATTGAATGATTTTATGGGTTCAAGTCAAATCATGACAACCGCTTCAGAATCAACAAATAGAAATTACATTACAAATTTATTATTTGGATTGAATTCAATTTCACAAAATTCTGAATATCTTTCTAACCAAATGGTCAACTCTAGTTTAATTTTATTGAGAGATGCTTTGGTATCAGTTCAATCAAGTACCACCTTTGTTCTGTCTAGAGGAGATTTGGTCAACTTGCAAAATATTTTGAACTTACAAGAAAATTTAATGGATGGTGAAAAATTATTGGAAACTGTTGAATTATTAGGGCAAGTTTTATTGAGAAATGTTTTAATTGGTCAAATACCATTTAAATTTGAAACTAACAGTTATTTGACAGTTTTAAACAAACATTTCAAGAATCAAATGAATGGAATGAAATTCGAAAGTGAGATGGTGAATATCACGTTACCATGGAACATTTCATCTCTCTTGAAAACTAATTCAATCAAGTCACCAATCAAGTACAGATGGAATATTCAAAAAAATACAGACACCATTGCAATTGCAAATCAACCTGGAAAGATAATATCAATCAATTCAGTTGTGAATAGTTTACAACTTGATCCTTCACCTCAATCTTATTCGAAATACTTATTCGACATTGAGATGAAACAATACGACAGTCAGGCAGCTTATGTTTGTGCTAACATTGGATCAGCATCATTGGAAACTGATTGTTCCATTTCTATCAAGAATAACCAAATAGCAACTTGTGAATGCTCTTCATTAGGATATAATCTTGTAATTCTTGAATACAAATCCATTGAAAATCATGTATCAACCTCCTCTTCATCAAATTCAAATATAATTGTCAAAAAACCTCCAACGAGCAATCCATTAATGTGGTTATTATTGTTACTAGTCCTCATTCCACTTACTGCCCTACTAATTGCAGTAATTGTATGGTTTGTAGTAAAGAAACTGGGTAAAGATAAGAATAATACAAGAAATCCATACATGCAAACACAAGAAAGCAGTTCTACAATTGAATTGAAGCATGTTTAATCTCGTTAATAATATGAAAAAGATTAGTTTGATAGGAGACGGTTATGTGATTGTGACTGAAACAACTCCGAAAGTGTCTAATTTGTGGAAATAAACACCATTCGAGTCATTCGAGCTCGTAAACCCATGAAGTATAATTTCTGTCTATTATTATTGTATTACATTACGAATCACCACAACATTGAAAAAACACAAAAGAATTCACTAAGAGAGCTCAAAATATCTGACATTGCGTTCCTTTCATTTTGGATTTACCTACCGGATAAGTTATAAAAATCGTTTTGGGATCACATATCATGAATTTCGTGTCATTGTGAAAATTCTACTATCAAGTCTCATAAAAAATGTTTCCACAACAAGCTCCACGGATTGTGGTAGAGATAAAACTTGGTAACACAGTTGCTCAATTGTTTCCAGATGGTAGCTTGAGTAATGGTTCAACCAGTATTACTGATTTCAGCGCAGTTGCACTAAACAAGCAAAACAAGCAAGTATGGGGGTTTGAAAATGACAAAGTTAAAATATTGTGCAATCAAAACCACGTTTGTAGTTATGGTCAAGTCAACCACTTGATAACAGGCAAGGGATTAAATAGGCTTCGTTCTCTTTACAATCTCGTAATAACAAAATATCTCCAACAACAGCCAAACATCACCGTTCCCAGAACCAATGCTGGTGACACCA